GCACCAAGTGTGTCCATCACCGTGTCCTCAGGTGCCACCTCCACGGGGTTTTTGGTCACCTCCAGGGCTGGGGACAGCCCTGGGCAGCCCTTCCAATGCCTGAACAACCTTTTAGGGAAAAATTTTTCCCCAATATCCCATCCAAACCTCCCCTGGAGCAGTTTGAGGTCATTCCCTCCCCTCCTGTCAGGGAGTTGTGCAGAGCCAGAAATTCCCTCTGATCCCCGTTTTCTCCAGCTCCTCCTCATCAGATTTGTATTCCCAAATATTCGATGGCCATGGATTCCAGAGCAGAGACATCACAACAGCCTGGGCCACTGGCAGTGCCTGGGAGGTGAATCCAGGGAAGGGAATTTTCCTTCAGGATCGTTCCCTTCACCAACGCAGAGATTCCCACCCTGGGAACAATGCACGCAGCATTTTTCCTTTTTTACCAACATTTCTACAAAACTCAAAATGCAAAAAAAAACAGAGGTGAGAAGTGGAACCTCTGCAACCAGAGAGGAGATGAACCCAGAGCCAACAACAACCCCCAAATTTATCATCAAAATTCAACATAATCAAAAAGAGAAACCCAGGGAGCTCTGAACTGCAGAGGATCTGCTCCGTGGGTTGGAGAGCACGGAGATGCTCTCTGCTCTCACATGGTCACTTTTTTTTGGGAGGTGTAAGCAGGAACAACACCACCACCACAAAAAAAAAAAAAAAAAATCTCCTTTCTGTCCCTGCCCCGCAGCAGATTTACACTGCGAGTTCTCAGCGAGGCTCAGCTTTGCTCCTGGATCCACGGCGGGGAGGGGAGCAGAGGAATTGGTGTTTTTAGGATTGTGGTTGGGAAAAACAGCATCACCCAGCTGGCACAGGCACACGGCCCGAGTGCCAGGGGCTGGGATAAAGAGGGAAAACACGGAGAGCTGCCCGGCACGAGAGGAAAGGCTGCGGGAAATGATTTTACAAAAGAAAAGCAGACAAGAGAAACGAGGTTTTGTGTGCACATCGCTCACCTCGTAGTGATAATCCATGCAGGTTAATTCCCTCCAGCAGCGATCCCCTCGGATTTTAATCAGCCCCTGGGGAGGGGAAAAAAAGGCAAAAATACGGTCAGAAATATTTTATTTTAATTTGTTTTGTGCCTCAAGGTGCCAAATTCTGTGATTAAACTGCGGAGGTTGAATGAGAGCCACGGCAGGGGTCCAGTTGTTCCCAAGGGATCATAATGGATGTGACTCATTCCCCTGCCTGGTGACTGACAATCTGCCAGAAATCCTGCTGGAATATTCCAAATTCCCCTTCCAGGATGAAGCCTGAGCCACACCTGAGCCTTTGCTCAGGTCTGAGCAGCCCTGGCATCACTTCCAGCATCCCTGGGAAGCAGCAATGGGAAAAACCAGGCTCTGCCCCTGGGATGACAGAAAAAAAAAAACCCAGCAAAATTCACGATTTTAACATCCAAACCCAAATGTTTCCCTCGGGAAAAGCCATCTCTGCTGCCTCTGGAAAAGGGAAAAGTGCCAAGGAGCAGGGATGGGGACACGGGGCAGGGATGGGGACACGGGACAGGGATGGGGACACGGGGCTGGGATGGGGACACGGGGCTGGGATGGGGACACGGGACAGGGATGGGGACACGGATGGGGACACGGATGGGGACACAAAGATGCAATTAAAATAATTAGGGGAACAAAAGAGGGGCAGGAAGCTGCCAGCCCCAAACACAGCTGGCTGCTCTGCCCCTCCTCAGCTCAGAGGCTGCAGCAGCAGCAATCCCCTGCCCTGCCACCCCAGGACAACGAGAGGGGACATTTCCAAATCACTGAGTCCATCCCGGGGCTGGCAGCAATATTGGGATTGAATTTCTTTGCCTCAGAGATGAAGAGCAGAAAGGAATCAGTCGGCCAGAGCAGGAAAGACACCTGGGCAGGGATGGGCTGGAGCAGGAAGCCGAGCAATCAAGGCTGGCTTTGATGTCCCTGATTAGGATCACAATATCCCAAATTGAGGAAAGCTTCACTGGTCAAAAGGTTGAAGCAGCTCTGTCATCTGCATACAATTAGGGGGTATTTTCCTACCTCTGACATCGCCCTAATTGTCATGGTCCTGCCTTGCCCAGGAGAAAAACCCGGGGAGTTTTTTTTGGGAGTTTTTGGGATTTCGGGAAGGTCCCATCCCGAGCATTCCTTAGGCTGGCAGCAGGGGAGGGATCAGTGACCCTGCAGTGCTAAAATCTGAGCTCAGAGGAGGAGATTCCAGCATTTACCAATTCCATCTCAATTCCCAGAATTGGAACAGGCTGGAAGAGAGCACAGTGGCTCCTCTGCTCCAACCTCCCTGCTCAGGCTGAAACAAATCTTCACTTGCAGCATTAAATCAAGTTTAACACGTTTGGAGCTCAAAAAGAAATACAAAAACTCCGATTAAAGACCCTCCAAAACTGCCCAGACCTGGGAAATAATATCCAGGAATATCCAGGAATATCCAGGAATACCCAGGAATACCCAGGAACACCCAGGGCTGGGTATCTGTCTGACAGCTGAGAGCACAGGGCAGAGCAGAGTTTTATGAACTCTGGATGCAAAGCGCTTTCACCCAGGATTTCTGGGATTTCAGAGCAGTTTTATTTCCAGGGATTTACTCATCCCATCCATCCCTCGGTGTCAACGGCCACTCCATCCTCCCCTCCCTGCCCTCCAAACTTTTCTGGAATCACAGGATCTGGTGATGGCATCTGCCAGGATGTGCTGGAATATTAAACCAGCACCCTTTTCTTGATGATCTCCCCTCCTCCCTTCCCCAGGCTGGTATCAAGCTCTATTATTCGGCAGGGATAATTAAAAACTCCAATTAAAAAGAGGATGGGGGGGGGGGGAAAGGAGCGCTGTGAAAAATCCTGATTTTTCCCTGCAATGACTCACTCGGGCAGCTCATCCCTTTTTTTATTTACTAGGAAGTTTTCAGCCAGGAAAAGTCTTCATTTCAGAAATGTTCTGCAGCATCAAAAACTCCCACTCTCATCACTGAGGGGTTTTTACCCTGAGCTGCCTTCGAGGCCACTTCACTCCCACACTGGCACCCGAGTTTTTCCCATTTTTCCCAAGGAATTTGGAGCAAGGAACAAGAGCAAAACGTGCACAGAAAATCTCTGTGTTCTCAGGCTGCAGATCTGGTGGGGAAAGGAGAAATCACAAAATCCTGGAACTGCTGTGGAAAGATGGAGGAGGAATCACAGAATCCTGGAGATGCTGAGAGGAGAAGGAGGAGGAATCAAAAAATCCTGGAGATGCTGAGAGGAGAAGGAGGAGGAATCAAAAAATCCTGGAAATGCTGAGGAGAGAAGGAGGAGGAATCAAAAAATCCTGGAAATGCTGAGGAGAGAAGGAGGAGGAATCATAAAATTCTGGAGATGCTGAGGAAAGGAGGAGGAATCAAAATCCTGGAAATGCTGAGGGAGGGAGGGAGGGAGAAATCACAGAATCCTGGAGATGCTGAGGAAAGAAGGAGGAGGAATCACAAAATCCTGAACTGCTGAGGAAAGGAGAAATCACAAAATTCTGGAGATGCTGAGGAAAGAAGGAGGAGGAATCAAAAAATCCTGGAAATGCTGAGGAAAAGAGGAATCAAAATCCTGGAAATGCTGAGGAAAGAGGAGGAAAAATCACAGAATCCTGGAGATGCTGAGGAAAGGAGAAATCACAAAATTCTGGAGATGCTGTGGAAAGAAGGAGGAGCAATCAAAAAATCCTGGAAATGCTGAGAGGAGAAGGAGGAAAAATCACAGAACCCTGGAGATGCTGAGGCTGGCAGAGATCTCTGGGCACTCCTGGAAATGGGGAAATTTTCAGGAATACAAATGAAATGTGAGCTCAAGGCGAGCAGCCAGGTGGCCAAGTGACCCAGCAGAGACCCGGATTATTAAATTCTGTGAAATCCTCTCTGCTGGGCTGGTGGCTGCAGGGACACTCGGGTTCCTCGGGATAATGAGCCTGGGAAGGGGGAACTCGAGGTCCTTGTCACAGGAATTTACAGCAGCAGGAGGAGAAAATGTTGCCCCCCTGGATTGAATTAAGCTCCAGAATGAAATATGGGCTCCATTCCTCCTCCCCTCTTCCAGGTTTGCTCAGGGCAGGGTGGAGATGCAGCTTGGACTTGGAAAACTCCAAATTCCCCAAATTAAAGGGAATTAAATCCAGCAGCGTTTCTCACTGAAAATTACACTTAGGATTTTTAATTTTTTTTTTTTTTTTTAAGGTTTATTTTAATGGTGGATAATAAAATTCCTTTAATCAGTTTTGCCCCCATCTACCAACCCTGCTCTGGAATATGGAATAAAACATTCCCAAAGCAGAGGAAACATTCCCATATTTACAGGAAAATAGGAAATATTCACAGGATGCCAGAAAATGAAATGCAGGGATCCAGGGGGGATCCATCAGGGATCCAGGGTGGTTTTTTTGTTTTTGTTTTTGTTTTTCGATTATTTTAATGGTGGATAATAAAATTCCTTTAATCACTTTTGCCCCCCATCCACCAGCCCTGCTCTGGAATATGGAATAAAACGTTCCCATATTTACAGGAAAATGGGAAATATTTACAGGATATGAAATGGAGGGATCCAGGGGGGATCCATCAGGGATCAGGGGGATGCAGCCCCCACCTGAATGGAGGGAAGAGCTCAGCTCCAAAAAAAAAAACAAACCCCAAATCCTGCCCTTTTCTCTTCCCTGATGCCTGTGCCCAACTGTGCCCCTTCCCCTTCCAGGCTGCTCCACTTGGGAGATTCAAAGGGAAAAAAAAAAAAAAATAAATAAAAGCCGGAATAATTAAAATGTCATTCAAGCCCTAAGCCCATATGAGTCACTGTTCCAAAAAATATCTGAAAAATTCCTTCAGGAGTGGGGGATAATTATATTCCTCCCTATCTATTGATTTTTCTCTACAATGCAGATGTCAGATTTTCCACGGGNTCCCTGGAGTGAGTGTCAAGGAGGAACAAAGCACTTCTTTGAGACTTTTTCAGCCCAAAATTAATTCTGGGAAAAAAAAAAAAAATGGTGCAGACAGGCCAATAGCACGGGAAGCTGAGCAAAAGCTTGGTGACTCAAGCTATGTCTGCAAAATTCCCTATTGATCCCAGCTCCAGAGGGAAGGGTGGGGAATGGGGCACCCACGTTATAAATTTAGAGTCAATTTAAAGACCTTTTTGTATATAATAGTGTATGGTTGGAAGTCAGGTTTTAAGAAAAAAAAAAAAAAAAAAAAAAAGGCAAAAATTCCCAGCTAAATTCTAGATTTGCATTTTGTTCTTGCCATAAATAAGGAGAAAATCCCAGCTCCGTGCACTTCCCACCTCTGCTACCCACGGGAAAAGTGGATTCAGCATCTCTGGGAAAGCCAAACCCTCAGCAGGGTATTCTGGGATAAATTTACCCCCCACCCCAGTTCGTGGGAGAGGAAGGAGCTTTCCCCAAGGTGAAATCTAAAAATAAAATCATTTCAAGATTATAGGGCAGGGCTGGAAGAACCTAAATCCCAGGAAATCCAACAACACCAACTCGAGCTGGGAATTCTAAAACTCCCTCGGGGTTCCAGGACTCCAAACCTTCCCCTCCTCCCTCCCTGCTGATGGATCAGGGTCCGTGGGGCAGCAGGGATGAGCTGGATCCCGAATTTTCTGGTTTTTAGGGAATGTCCCACAGGGAACAGGTGCCACAGGTAAGGCTGGGCCAGGTGAAAAGCAAAGGTGTGAAGCAGAACTGCACCTGATGTTCCCTCCAAGCTCATTGGATTCAATTCCTGCTGCTTCTTCCATGGAAAGAGAGGAATAACAGGGGCTTGAGGGGAATGATGGAATTTATCTTTCCAAAGCAGCACTGAGAGCTAAAAGGAACAATGGGATGGATTGCACTGATGGATGAATGGAAAAAAAAAAAATATATATTTATATATATTTCCCTTTACAAACAAAGTGCAGGTTTGCTGAGAAATGGAATTGGATATTGAAAGGTGAAAGAAGCAATGGGGGAAATCTATGAATTGTGTAAGAATTAAAAATTAAAAAGGGAGGGTTGTACAT